GAACTTCCGTGACTGCATCCTGCAGATGAAGCCCAAGTTTGTCCTGAAGGACAAGTCTGATATTCCCGTCCTTGAAATCTCTGATGACGACGACGAGTCGGCCAACACCACTCCCGGTAACAGAAAGCGCAGTGCGAATGGCCAGGGCTTTGCGAACGCCAAAAGACCTCGCCCTACCCCTAGTGTCAATGGTGGCTCCTTTTCGGCGGCTGTCAAGATGGAAGACGGCGGTTCGACACCAAACACTCCATCCCGTAGAAGACCGCCTCCGTCGGCACCTCTTGTTGGCCCCTTCCAGCAGTACTTCAACCACGGCGCAGGATTCCGGACGCTGGCGCAGATCCGAGAGGACATTAGAGCCAAGACCAAGGCTGGTATGCCTAACATCGTTCCCGATGAGGTGTACGAAGAGCTCGGCAAGAAAGCAGTGAGAGACTGGGATAGGCCCATGTCCACGTTTGTGCACGAAACTATGAGTCGACTGCAGAAAATTGCCGACTGGGCTCTCGATCAAGCTTTCGGGTCCCTGAAGAAGCGACTAATCTTCAAAGAGTCCAAGGCCCTCATGGACGAATTCCTAAATCAACGACGGGCCGAAACGATGGCCTTCCTTAAGGAGATCTTTGAGATGGAGACATTCCAGTTGTTCACAGTCAACCAGAAGGCCTTTGCCGACTACGAGCGTTCCGAAAGCCGAGTACTGACGCGCTATCGCCATGTTATGCGCTGGCAGGCGTTCTCTGGCGAGCAATCCGACTTTCATGATTGGGAGAAGATGACACCGGATCAGCAAAGCCATGAAGAGAGAAAGCATGCCCTTGAACTGGCGAAAATGGGTCCAGACCCCTTCGATAAGGAGCTGAAGGTGGCCGCCTATGTTCGCGGCTACTACATGCTTGCAGCCCTTCGCTTCACTGACACGGTCTGTCTCTCAATCACATCGCGTATGATGCCGAAAATCATCCAAGATCTGGACTTCTTCCTGGAAAAGAAGCTTGGCTTGGTCGGCGGACATGACGACACGATCTTTTCTCGTCTGATGGAGGAGGATGAAGACACTGCCCTTAAGAGGGAACGTCTCAAGGGCGAGCTCGAAAAGTTCAATAAGGCACTCCAGTCGATTACGACCAACGAGTTGGAGGATGTGTCAGGCTCGTCATCGCAGGGACACACGCAGTTCGGACCGTACGCGGAGTCTGTGGCCGATAGCATGGATCTGGACTCGTCGATCTGAACTGCCAGCAACTCTAGACTACTATGTATTGCTGTGGCAAACCAGGGGTTACCTGTTTCTCCGATGTAAAAGAGAGAGAGAGGAAGGGGCGGAGGGAGAGATTGCCCACCAAACGGTCACGGGATTACAAATTTTGCAGTTGCACTTGGCAACGAATTTCAGGCGGGAAAAGGTCTCGAGTGGGATACTTGGGAGAGGCTTGTGTGGCAACAAAGACAGGACACAAGCCGTTGGGCAACCTTGTAGATGGTTGAACTGGCTGTTTGGCGTCATGGCGTAGCGGATGTCGAGGTCATGTGGTGGCTCTTTCCTTTGTTTCCGATCAGAAGGAAGAGGCTTCGTACAAGATACGAATAATGTAGCTAGCTTAGGTCAGACAATTGACACAAAGATGTAATAACTTGCTGATATCGAAGTGGCTGATGAATGAATTGTAAAGAGGAGACAGCTGGAGTTCCAGATGACCAGGTCGATCTCGCTTGCATCGATAGACCAGAGGCGGTTATACAGTCTGCCATTGGTGTTCCGGGTTTCGGGCCTACCTACCTACCTACCTACCTAGTGCACCGAGAAGTGCGGCAAGACCGGAGACTGAGGAAAACACTCCGTCGTGCCTGCCAAGTCGCCATCTCGGCAGCTCCTACTTGGGCGTTGCTGGACGAGAGGAAGAATGAATGTCACGACTTCCGGCTGCTTCCTCCCCTTTTCTGCCGTATACGTCTTTCTTCCCAAACTACGAAACCACGTTCGTCGTGTTCTTACTGATGCAGTTCTCGTTTAACTCAAGGCTGTCATTCGTCCGTCGCCCTCCGATGGACCTCCATCTTCCACCCTTCACATCGCGGTCTGCGGCCCAACAGCACATGATCTGCAAGAATCCTCGGAAGCCTCCCGGATGACCCAGGCCGTCCCTCCATGCATCACGTCGCAGCAGCCCCTTTCTTTCTGCTGGAAACCGTTTGGGAAACAGGTACCACACCTTCAACTTTAGCCGGCTGTGCGGCGTTCCCATGGCTCTGGGACGCATTTCTGGGGTTGTTGGCCAGCCGCTACACGAAGGCTGACTCGGCTAATATGCTCAGGGCCCTGGCTAGCCACCGACCACGACCGACCGCGATGTACAGCGGCTATTTGCAACCGAAAGCGCTGGCGAGGAATAACTATTGGTTCGAGAGCGGCCGGCGTTGGGCGAAATTCCCAACCACTGGGGTGCGCCAACGCAGAACAAGCCTGGGGGTGGCACTTTGACTCGTGGACTGGCGTTGTACCGGTTCATTACTCCCGATAGCCGTAGCCGGTTCGGGGGAGGAGGCTTCCCCGGATTCGAAACGCCAGGCCACGCTTCTAACATGCCAACGTCGGTGGATCACAAGACATTGTCGAGCTCGCCATGGGGTGTTGGAATTGACAGTGATTCGATACAGAACCGATACGTCGGACACGAACCCGGGTCGTCAATGTATCTTGGGCGCATTGCCACGATCAAGAATCAGATCGGCGTGCTCGGCGGAACACGACGATAGGCGACGCCTGGATAGACCGTATGTGTTTCCCAGTTTTTAAGTAGAGATTCGCTGGATATACAATCAGCAGTCCCCAAACGGCAGAAATTGTCGAGGAATCAAAGTGGTCCTAGCCTATCAAGTCGAGCAGGCAAACACCAGATTCCCCAGGTATCCATACTGCAGCCCATCCATCGAAGCAACAAGCAAGAACGGAACCGCAATTATTTTCCCTCCTCTTTCTGATCGTCCCCCTTGATGGCACCCAGTAAATATCAACGAGGCTCGACACCCCTGGCTTGCTGCACATACCATCGCCAACTACTATTTTCAGACTCGGTCTAGCGAATCGATCCTACACTCAAAGGAGACTATCGCTTTCTGCGGAGGTATCGCATTCTTCGGGTCCAATGTCGGTAAGGGTGCCGTAAACTCGAGGCGTTGCGACAGTCCGCAGAGCATCTCACAGGCATTCCAGGAGCATTTTGCCGGAGCTGAGCGGGCTAGTCTGAATTGGGATTGGATTGCCTGTCAGATATCGCACAAGGCCGGGCCTGCCTTCCGGAAGGGCGCTTCCTTCGCCCTTTGGTGCCGCTTGTGGCGTTTTACCAGTCCTTGCAAAAGTGTACGGTAGATTACATGCTTACATAGTACGCGAGGGTAAACTGCACTGGCCTGGGGCGATTTCTGGCCTTTGAGCCACTGAAGGATCTCCGAAGCGACCTCGAGACGACGAGACATCCCAGACAGATCAAAGGGGGGGGGGGGGGGGTTGTGGAGACTGGAGCAAAGGAAACACCCTCTGTTTGTGACGCTTCTGGTAGTACCAAAACATCAGCTCGAAGGAGTCGATGATTCATGAGACCAACCGAGCCACCGGGGTCATGGGCCGAAGCTCGTTGAATGCCATTGCGTCAAATACGCACTCGGTGGTGCAGCTGGTATCAATGATCTCCACAGCTACGTACAGCTCCATTGCAGGCTCGATAACCTAGGTAGCGCACCTCGGCTGGTCTTTGACTGAGTCTGGGGAAGTGGATCCCGGAGAGCAACGACGATCAAGCGCCAACAGAGCATGCCCGTCTGTTGTGATCGAAAAACATGTCCCAATTTCTCCCATGGATCTTCGACACGCTGCAGGCCTTGGTTGGGGTACAACGCATACTGCACCAGGCTTGTCTAGACGGAAGCCCTTCCAACACCCAACCTTAACAAATATCGGCGCATGAAGCCGAAGGTGGCGAGACAACCCCATCCTACAACGTTCCCATACCGTACGAACCTTCTCAGTCCAACTGCACTTATCCGGGGATGGGTCGACACACAAGTACGGCCGTTGACCAAGGCAGCCAGCCATCCAGTCAAGGACTCTGGTCCCCATTCGCTTCGCTTAACCGATGCCGCAATTTACGCCCGCATTTGCTGATCTCTAGCGAGTCAAGTAACGACACTTAGCCTTCTAACATCACAGGTCCCAGTTATTCAATAACATGTCTAGCCTGTCTAGGCTTCCACGGCCCAGGCACACTACCAAGCCATGCGCGCTTTTCCCCAGGGTTCGCGTTTCTTCTACAGTACACACCACCTTCGACACATCCCATGTCCTACTGCGATCAGCCTTTACCTCTTCGGGGCCCACCAACGGTGCCGACCAATCGCTTGCGGGTGGTTAAATACGTCCTTCTTTTGCCGGCCCTTTTATCCCGACGGCGCGCTTCTCACGAGGCCACATGCGCTGGTCTGCCATAGGCCAGTCAGCTCGGCACCCAGCCGCCTTTCGCTGGAGCCAGACAGAGCCATGGAGCTGATTTCTGGTACAGAGTACACTAGCGCCTTGATCACTTCAGGCAAGGCATTTCTTGGGTTTGACTGGTCCAGGCCCTTTTCCGCAATGGCTGAAGCTTACCCAGGCCAGGCTTCTGGGCATCTCGAATGACCCGTACTTTGGGATTTGCATTGCCACTCTGGCGAACCCGCAACGTTAGGTCTCCTGCGAGCCAGAGAAGGTGTTACAAGCCAGCGACACCAAGCTTTCCGGCGGCCCATACCGCCTACGACTTTCAGCATCCGACTTGTCGATGCAAAGAGTGAGTGCCTGCTGTTAATTGCTTACTGATGCATAGCAACCCTGGTTGTTGCGGTGCCGTAAGTCTGCCGAGCACTAGGTACAAGCTCGGAGCGGTAAGCGGTTGTCATACGTTGAACTTTCACGGAACGGATCAGCCCTAAGTGAGCTGTAACTGATAATCCGCATCAGCCATCCTTCAATGGATGAACTGGTGGCCTGGAGACACCTGAGGCTAGTACAGCCTTACTATTGCTCGATCTAGGGGTCCTGCAGTCAACAGATTCCTGGAACGCCATTCTTCTAGCACGTTGCTGAAAGTTTCTGGGACGACGCTTAGGCTGAATTTGCAGCGGCCCAAGGGAAAACCTTCCAGCCCCCCTGCTCTTCGTGCTCGAAAGTTGCAATGTCACGCAAATGGGTGACAAAAGTTTGACATGGCATCTTGTGTGTTGCAAATCACCGGGCCAGGTTATGAATGGCGCGTGGAGCTGTCCGTCGTACAACAGCAACAGGGCTCAGTTCACGAATCACTGCACAACAGCCCCTGCAACCCGTGTCGAAGTTCGTTCCGGGCCGGGGTGGTGGTCTGCATCTGTGTCGCAAACCAACCAACCCAGCTGGGCTGCCTAAGTCTTTCCGGAGCGGTCTTCCAATTCTGCATGGCCTCTCCCCGCAGGAGGTCAAGCAGAGAGGGAGAGAGAAAGTGTGTGTGTGTGTGAGAGAGAGAGAGAGAGAGAGGGAGAGAGAGACAGGCACACAATTTGTCCACGCAGGTGAGCGACCTAGATTCGGTTTGAACGCTTTGCCTTCCGGGGGAGGCTTACCATCCCAGTCACTCTGTCCATTTTTACCCGCTACCGCCAATTCGTGCCGTCGCCGCCGCACCCCTCCCCCAGTCTCAGTCCACCACACCCCCGCCTCCGCAGATACCTTCTTCACGGGGTAAGCACCTCCAAATGGGGTGACAATTTCATCTCTCCGGGGCCAGCAGCCGTGCAGATCAAAGACTAACACTTGGGTGCCCCTACATCTGATGGTAAGGAACCACGGGCGAGGGAGGAAAAAAGACATATAAATCCACGACGCTGGCCCTGTCTGTTGATCATTTCTGCCTCTCCCCACCCGCAAGTCGGCCAAGTTAACTTCAATACTTTCCCTGCCAGCCCTTAACGTTCTCTCCTGGTATTTAGGAAGCCAAGCCGTCAAATACCGCTACAATGGCGATCGCTGTCAACGTTGACATCGCGCAGGCCGAAGCACCGCGCTTCGAGAGGGTCTCCTGGCTCAAGGAGCCCCATCTCCGCAAGCTTTACTTCTCGACCATCTTTCTCATGGTCGCCTCGGCCACGAGCGGTTACGATGGTATGCTCGTCAACACGTCCCAGCAGATGTCGCGGTGGAAGGACTTCTTCGGTGACGGCGTCTCCGACAACAACAAGCTCGGCATCCTCATCAACATGTTCAACATCGGTTCCATCATTTCCTTCTTCATCACTCCTTACGTGGCAGACAACTTCGGGCGTAAGGTGGCCATCGTGTCTGGCTGTTGTTTCATGGTTGTCGGTGGTTGCATTACCGCCTTCTGCAACGGCTGGGGAAGTAAGTGGGACGGAAAACCATGACCTGTGAAGCCGAGCAATGGGCTGACTCTTGTAGTGTACATCGGCGGTCGTTTTGTTCTCGGTTTCGGCAACTCTTTGGCTCAGATGTCGTCGCCCCTCCTCCTGACCGAGATTTGCCATCCTCAACACCGTGGTCCTGTCACTGCCGTTAGTTGCTTGCCCTCTTACCCAACCAGACCATCCACGAAGACGGAGAGAAATCTTACAATCTCTCTCGTGAGGTGTTTCAAAGTAAACTTACTGACTTGTAAACACTAGATATACAACTGCTTGTGGAACTTGGGCGCGCTCATTGTCTCCTCCATCGGATGGGGAACCTCTTACGTTGGCAACAACTGGTCCTGGCGGTCCATCACCTTTATTCAGATCGTTCCCTCTGTCATCCAGCTCGTGGGAATCTGGTGGGTGCCAGAGTCCCCGCGTTACCTCTGCAACAAGGACCGCTCCGAGGAAGCCCTTGCGGTTCTGGCGAAGCACCACGCCGGCGGCGACTACAACAACGCCACTGTCCAGTTTGAGTACCGCGAGATCAAGGAGACCATTACCAAGGAGAGAGAGGCGTCGAAGACGACCACCTACTTGGACTTTTTCAGGACAAAGGGCAACAGGTGGCGTCTCGCCATTGTCATCTCCCTCGGTGTCATCTCCCAGTACTCGGGTAACGCGCTGTTCTCCAACTACATGGACGCCATCTACATCGGAGCCGGCATCACTGAACAGAACCAGAAGCTCGCCATCTCCACCGGCAAGTCGATCCTCGATCTCTCGTGCTCCATTGGAGCCGCCCTGACGGTCGACTACTTTGGTCGTCGCCCTCTGTTCCTCGTGTCCATGGGCGGCATGGTCGCTGCCTTCGTCTTGTGGACCATCACCGGTGCCGTGTACGAGAACTCCAACGGCACTAACGCGGGTTCCGGCTACGCCCAGCTGGTCTTCATCTGGATCTTTGGCATCTTCTACGACATTGGGTTTTCCGGTCTGCTCGTCGCTTATGCTCTCGAGGTCCTGCCCTTCCATCTCCGTGCGAAGGGTATGATGATTATGAACATTGCCATCCAAGCCATTCTGGCCCTCGGAAAGTGCGTTGAACCCCCCCCCCCCGTGTCCTCCAGCCTATTCGACCCCAGCTAACATGTTTTTTCCCCCCCCAACAGCCAAACCAACAAGGTCGCGTGGGACAACCTTCCCAACCACTGGAACTTCATGTTGTTCTACACACTGTGGGACGCGGTTGAGTTTGTATTTGTCTACTTCTTCTACGTCGAGACCAAGGGTCCTACACTCGAAGAGATCTCCAAGATCTTTGACGGCGACGCCGCCGTCGGCCAGGTCGACGCCGTCCAGCTTGAGAAGGAGATTCACGCCGATCACCACGAGGAGGACATCAACACGCGGGCCGCGCACAGCGAGAAGACGGCTGCTTGAGGCGTCCTTGACACGACGACGGCCCCCTCCCCCCCTGCTAACTAGAAAAACCAAAAACGAAAAACAAGCGATATCCAGTTCTCGTACGTCCTTGTGTAATGCACCTGTCTGGATCCTTTCTTGCCTAGTCTGGTGATGGATGTAATGAGAGCCCGGCACGTTGGCCGGGCTTAGTTAGGCTTGGGGATTGACCATGATACCAGAGGTGTTCGCGACGTATGGTGTGATTTTCCTTCCTCTTCTACTTGCAGAGGGGGGTTTAGATCCGGCACCTGCGAAGCGTCGCCTTACCGAGTACTCTCATTTCAAGTAGCTATTCGATACTCGCATGGCGTCGTCCTCTGGAGGGCGCCCTGCAGCAATACGACCTGTTACTTTTGCGCAAGTGCCTCTGCCAAGCTTCCTGCCGCGAGAATGCCAACCTCGGCGAAGCTTTCTCCCCCCCGCCCCTCCCTCATGTTTCACTGTTGGTGCACCAACTCTCCAAAACACTTGAACCCCCACCCCCAGTCGTGGTTCACTATTCAGAGTTCGAGACGGCGCTAGTGCCGGTGCCCGTATGGGAGAAAGTGTCATGTATCCGTAGGGTGTATACAAATTATCCCAATGGGATGGGGGGAGGGGGATGAGAAGGATTTCGAATTGGTGGGAATTGCTTTTCCTGGACGGGGGGGAGGGGGGGCTTACTGGACACGTGCAGGAAAGGCTCAAGGAGGGGGGCGGGCGGGCTATTTTGCCGGCTTATTGTGTTTGTGTACTACTCTATGTTTGTATTTATGCATGTATGTATGTGTGGTCCCTCCCGGGCGGTCGACAGATTCGGCGTGGGACTCGACGGGGTGTGTGTGTATATATATGAAAGAGAGAGAAAGAGAGGGTGGCGGGCCGCGAGACCGATGGCTTTTGGTTAATACGTGCGTGATGTGTTTTTTTTTTTCTTTTCCTTTCCCAAAAGGTGAGTGGGAGCGAAAGCAGGGGGGGGAGGGGTGGAAGGTGGGGAGAGAGGGAGGGAAGTTGGGGAAAGGGGGGACGAGACGGCGGCGGGGGTTACATTCCACAGGCATTGTGGAGAAGCTGGAGAAGGAGGGGGGCATGAGATGGGATGGGATGTGCTGGTGCTGTTTTTCCTGCGCCGTTCGTTTTCTCCAGTGCGTCCCGTATTGATTGCGAGGTGTCAGTCCGTCCGTCCGTCCGTCCGACCGGTACGGTACGGTACGATGGCTCGTGGGCAGTGGGGACGGCGCAGGACGACTTTTCTTCCTCTTTTCTTCTTCTTTTTTTTTTCTTTCTTTTCCGTTCACCTTTTTCCCTTTTGGACGGTACAATATCGTGCTGGGCTTTCATCGCGCTTTTGCCTTCGGCCCGGGCCTGTCTTGGAGAGAGCCTCGCTCGACATCCGCCTACTTGCGAAGGGGGAAAGGGGGGGATGATGGCCCTCGCGCCCGTGACCGTGAGTGATGTGGTGCTACCAGTACACAGCGAAATAAACAGCTTCATTGAACATCCCCGAACCATGATAATCTAAACACTTGCTGGCTGGCTACCTGTCTATTTAATCATCTAGATAATGTTACACGGGAGGCGATAACCTTCTCCCCCTTCTGCATGCATAGCACATACCGCGCTTCAGATCCCCAACTCGCCACCAACAACCTCGAGAGCCTCGTTGCACAGCGCCAACACGGCCGCGTCGCCCGAACTGCCCGCCACTTGCACAGCGCTCACGAGCAACGGGTACAGCCGCAGCAAGTGCTTCCGCCCCTCGCTGTCGACATTGGGCGTGTCCGGGATGGCGTCCGGCTCGGATGTCAGGTCAACAAGCTGCCGCAGCACGCAAAGGAGCTCCTTGCGCTGTGAAAGCGGCTGCGGCATGCGGCCCCTTAAAGGCTGGTCTGCGATGTAGGCGCGTATCGTCAGCGCCGCCCGGAGGATGAGGAACGGCGCGGCCGAGCGCGCGATCCGTACGTGCAGGGCCTGCGGGGCCTCGGAGAGCTGGGACGCCGCCGACGACCGCGCCGGCGGAAACGCGGGCGTCGGCGGCTGCACGACGATGCGCAGGCTCGCGGCGTCGTAGCTCGATACCAGGGAGAAGAGCTCGTCGACGCAGACGTACGACATGCGCTCGCGCAGCGTCGGGACCGGGTCGAGGGTGCGCCCCGTGCGCTTCTTGTAGAGGCTCGCGAGGCCGTTTCCGTCCGAGTTGCCGTTGGGACCGAAGATTAGGGAGGACTCGACCGGCGACGGCGCGTGGATGATGGACGTGCGGAACAGGCTCTCGGCGTACCACTTGCGCGTCTTGTCCGGGATCGCCTCGGCGCCGAGCGCGGGGATGATGAGCTCGCGGAGCTTGTGGAAGGACATTATGTCAAACGACTCGTCGTCCGAAAGGTCGGCCGACGTCGGTGCGGCTTTGGTGTCTGCGCTGACGATGCCGTTGGCGATCTCGACAACCATCTGCCATATGCCTTGCAGGGTTGAGCGCGGGACCTGCAGAGCGCGCATCTGCGGGAGCGTCGCCTCCAGGACCGCGAGGATGGTGTTCGTGGCAAGCCGCCAGGGCTGGGCTGACTTGGTCACGATGGGGAACCTGTATTTGAGGACCAGTGGTTTGGAGAGCGCCGAGAGCGCCGCGGAGAAGGCCTCGCTGGCGTATATGTCTGCATCGCTCGCGTTGAGGAGGATGAGCGTCTGCAGAATGGACATGCTCGCCTTGGACATTGCCACGTACGTCCTTCGCTGCGTCGAGCTCTGGGCTTCGAGCGCCTCATCGCTGAATGCGAGCCGGACGAACTCTGCCACCTGCGAGATCATGGCAGAAGGCACCCCAGCGAGGTCTGTCTGCACCATCTTGATGGCCTCGAGCACTTGGTTTTGAAGTGGCGTGACGTACTCAATATCGTTGACGTAGGCTCCCACGGTGGCCTGCTGCAGGGCCTCACGGAAGAGGGTCAGCATCTGGCGGACCCTGTCGACGGTCAGGTCCTTTTGAACGAGCTGGTACACGTCGTGGAACGCGGCGACATAGGCAATGAGGCAGTTCTGGTTGTCCGTCTTCTTTCCGTCACCCTCGTCCAGGGAGACCGGCGTTCCTCGTGACCAGAACTCCCATGCGGTGTTAACAGTGCTGGTGTCAAAAACGGGCCTGCCGGGCTCGTGGTCGAGCTTGGTGACCTTGCCCAGAGCCTTGTAGGCGGCCGTGTTGATGTCCAGGACCTTGAAGTTGAGCAGAGTCGCAAAGTGGCCCAAGAGTTCTTGCCACAGCGCGTTGAAAGAGGAATGGGCGGAGAGCGGCTCCATGTAGCTGGCCAAAAGCTCCGAGATGCCATTCAAAACAACGACTGCAGTCTCGTGCCACTCTTTGCGTTTGTGGTGCGTCGAGCCATCGCCGACAGCGGCTTCAAGTTCTTCTTCAATCGACGACAAAAGCTTGAACACGACAGACTTGACGCAGGTGGCCCAGGCTTCTGGGCTCAGTTTATCACCATAGGCATCAAATATCCTCAGTAGGGTCTGGATTGCGCTGTTGCGGAGCTCTAGCCGCCCATCTGCAGTTACGGTGGTAAGTCTCAGTAGCAAAAGCATCCAGAGAGCGGCGTCGGACGCATTGTGTTCCGAGTCCGCGGCCAGGGCTGCCAGGTCAGTTATACTCGAGCCCTGCATCAAGTCGGCGGTGATGGGAAGGGTCTCGGTCTTGCCAGAGAGAAAGTCTGACAGAACCCAGAAGAACGTGACAGTCTGCCAAAGTCAGGTCTGTACCAAGAGATTGGGGGGGGGGATGGGCAAAGAACATACTGTGAGCGCAATGTTGAGGTCGTCATCTTGCGAGCAGAATTTGTAAAGGGTATCAACGAGTATGAGAAAGCAGGAATTCGGCAAAGACGCTAAGAAGTCGGAGCATATAAGTTGAAGAGAATTGAAGGAAGACCGGACAAGCTTCGCCGACCGGGTCATGAGGACGGCTGTCTGGGAGCCCCGATGCTCTCCCGTCGCGAACTTTCTGTTGATAAAAATGGAGCCGATGATCTCGAAAGCGATCTCCCACCCGCTGACGAGCGTCTCGCCGCAGTTCTCGAGAAGACTCTTTAGTCCTTCGAGAATTACCTTGTGGATGTCAACGTCTGTGCCGTGGCTGGCGACTGTGACCTCCCTGTCCTCTCGTTGTAGTGGCAAAAGAGCATCGCGGAGGGCTTCTAACAACAGCAACTGCACGCTCCCGCACTGCTTGCGCTCCATCGTCGCAGCGACATTGGCAGATTCCAGTGCTAGTCTCACTATAATCTCTGCAGCACGGAGCCTCACAGAAGCGTTCATTGAAGACGAGCTGAGGACGTGGATGAGCTCAGACGTCAGCGCTGTCCACCCAGAAACGTCAGGCGGGTACGTCAAGAGACGGTCGATGTTGATCGTGGCGATATCTCCCAGCTTGGCTAGGGCGAAATGGTCTTCTTGGTTCGGTCCTGCGGCCGCTGCGGTCGAGATGCTGAGCACTCGGCGGTGCTGGCCAGTGTGGGGTGGCTTAATGCTACCAGAACCGGGTGATTGCGGCTGGCTAACAGTCTCCGTCTTGGGCTTATCTTCGTCTGTCCTTTCCAGGAGATTGCATACCGCAGTCACCACTTCCCCGAATGCATCATTGGGGAAGTCTATTGTGCTTTCGATGAGACGGGACGCCGCGGTCTCGACGGCCCGGACTTCGCTGCCAAAGTTGGATAGAAGGGCATTCGCTTCGCCCTCGGCATGGTGGTCTGTCCCTTTCGTTGCAAGAGGTGTCCTCCCAGGAGCCTTACTCGTGGAGAAGAGAACAAAGTCGGCTTGCTGCAGAGTCTCGAGAATGATGCGCCATGAGGGACCGAGAGTTGGACCAAGAGCAATTCCGAGATTGAGAAGCGCCCTCAAACATAGAAGGTTACGAGTGTTGAGTGCCATCTGACTTCCTTCGAGTCCCTGTTGTCTTCCCCTGTCGACGGCGGGCGACGATTGGCTCACGAGGCTGTCGACGCTTAGTATCCCTCGCGCGTTACTCAGAATACTGTTTGGTGCTTCTGTGGTCGGCGTAGGCGTCGTCGGCCGGGCGGTTCCGGCATTTAGGCACGCCGTGAATACGTTCGGCGGTACTGCCGCCTTGCCCAGTGTTGTCAAGAATGCGTCTCTAGGCGTGGCCAACTGGAGTAGCCCGGCAACATGGGCGAACTTTTGGAACGCTCTTACAAGGCTGTGGTAATACTCCGAATCCATTGCAGCGTACAAAAAAGTCGAACATGTGGCCAGCACGGCCGGCCAGCATTCCTCAATGATGGCTGCGCATATCTTGACTTCGTTGTGAAGGGGATGGTCTTCCAAAGCGAGAGGATTGAGAGGCACTGGGTTCTTCTTGAACGAAGCCGCTCGTTCCATTGCAATTCGTGACCCATCCGCGCCATCCTGCGGGGGCGCCGAAGAATCGCGCTCTGGCTCCTGCTTACCGTTCTTCTTGCGGCTGCGGCTATCTCCTGGCACCGTGAGCGGAAGGATAAACTTGGCAAGGCCCTCGGAAAGTGATGAGATGCAGGACAAGGTCAAGCTGTAGATGTAGGTCTCGGGAATCGACGGTGCCTCGGTCTTGTCGAGTTGGTCAATACAAGGAACCCTTACGCTACTCCATTGCGTACTGATACCGATATTGGAACCATCCGCATCGACGGTGCCACTGATGATGCCCGTGACGCCGCTAGCCTCGAGCATGGCTTGGTCAGTGGATGATGCGATGCTGGCGTATGGATTCGCCACCGGAACAGTGGACTGATGACCGAGCCCAATGACGGCCGGCTTCTCCGTACTGAGCCGCACAAATGTCGCCGTCAAGTGCTTGAGGACGTCCTTCTCGCCTTCTTTTGCATCGTAGTTGACGAATATCCGTCGAATGAGAGCGTGCTCCGAAAAGATGCCCCGAAACACTTCCAAGCATAGAGCTCGCTTCCATATCGCCGTTTCCTGGTCTAGTAGGTTGGTGAGGATGTCGAGGGCATCGCCACTTTCTGATGGAAGAATGTTGATGTGGCGTCTCAATAGCGTGTATAAAATCCGGACCAGCCTGACCGTTGTCGCGAAGTTTGGCTTCCCTTTGAGCGCACTAATAATGAAGGGCATGACCCGTATCTGCAGGATATGCGCTTGCTCTTTGTGGGCAGAAAACACAGCCGCATGGTTTGTCAGAACGGATTCTATCAGCTCGAGCCCAAACGTTTGCGGAAGTCCAGAGAACCTCAAATACTCGGGACGCTGGTTTTCTGTCATGAGGCACAGGTCATTGAATATCTTTTGGCTATTAGTCTGGTGAACTCCACCATCGGAATCGGATACCTACCCTGTATGCATCCAGCGCTGCTGCGCGCAGCTCAACTGTGCCGTCGCCGGCTGGCGCCTCGCCAGCGGGAGCCCCCGGGGGCGTAGTTTCTGCCTCTTTGTCAGTGACACACTCGAGCCTCTTCTAGGTCTGGGGTGGATCCATACTGTCTTCAGTGACAACCTTGTCAAACACGGATACTACAAGCTGCTGCAGGGTTGCGGCCGAGGTGTTGTTGACGATGGCATTCTTGCTCGTCTGCAGGATAAAGCAAATGTTCAGCGCAGTGATCAGGAGGTCGCCTTTCAGATCGGTGGCGTAGTTCTGCAGCAACGAAGGTAAAGCCTGAAGGATCTTGAGTTGGACATCCAGACCTGCCGAGGTTGCCTCCCTGAGAGCTTCGAGAACCTGATTCAGCTTCCCTCTAGGGAGGGCGCGGGCAACAATAAGTCTCTGGAGGCAGACAATGGCGATGCCGGTGAACTTTGCATTCTTAGTCCCGCAAGCAACGATGAAGGGATTGACAAAGTTGGGTCTCTGGGCCAGCTCTGGGGCGGAAGTCAGACACGGACGAGTGCTTCATCATGAAAGGTGGGCACGAGGGATGATACCGTTGGCAGCTTGAGCTTCATTAGCCCCTCTCAGTCCCTTGAGCTCTTCGAGAGACTTCTCGGCCGCCTATATGGAGAAGTTTCAGCATGCCGGTGGTAGGGTTGAGGAGAGAGGCAGCATACCTGTCTGAGGTCATTGTGTTTCCGCTTGCTTTCTTGGATGAGATTCGTTAGCTCCGTAGCTAGGAGCTGGGTCGTCATTCTGTCACAAGTGGCCTCTCGGGCAGTCCATCGTCGAGCTGGGATGCTTCAAGTTACAGGGGATGGGCACAAGAAATCGCACGTGTTGTGGAATGGCAGTGGGTGCGAATCGCGAACTGTCGGGGAAATAGGAATGCTGTGGGTGTTGATAGAACATGAACAGAGCAAGGGAGCTGCCGACTGGACAACTTCACCGCGCAGCTCATCCACAGCACCCGATCGAGGTGAGCTGTCCACCTTGCATGATGACTAAGGCAACACCGCTGGAAGTACCCACACCGCTTTCCCCGAACGGTGCAACGCAACAGTGTTCACCGCCTGGAAGATGCCCCGCGTTGACTTGCGCACCTAGTTACACAAGTACCTGCCTGTAGGTACCTACCTAGGCACCTATCTAGGTACCTCGCAGGTAAGGTATCAAGCCTCTCTCCAGCGCCTCCAGGCACAGGGCTGCTGCTGTATTACACTGGTGGAACCCCGCTGTACTTGTAAACCGATCGCTGCTTGCCCGCTTGCGGCTGGCTACCTTACTCATTGGACGTTAGGTAAGAACCCTCCGGCCAGTCCCTCCCACTTCGCAGCCCCTCCATCTTGGACATCCACAACCTCACGTTACCTCACCCCCCTACCGCAACCAACCTCAACTCTCTCCTTGATATCTACAAACGACGCGAGAAATCATGGGCGCAAAGGTTCCGCGCAACTTTAGACTCCTCGAGGAGCTCGAGAAGGGCGAAAAGGGTCTTGGAGCAGGTACGTGAAGCCCCCCGCGCCTGACGCAAGCAAACCCAAGTCGCCCAGCGCATCCTGGCTAACGATCCCAATTGTAGAGGCTTGCTCCTACGGCCTGAACGATGCCGAGGACCTCTTGATGTCGGACTGGAACGGCACCATTCTGGGCCCCCCTCACGTTAGTACTCCGGCCTACCATTGAACCTCTGGCTCTATCTCTTGCGCGAATAGTCACTGACAGACTCCATGGTGCAGAGTGTCCACGAGAACCGAATCTACTCCCTCAAGATGCACTGCGGACCTAACTACCCCGATGAGCCCCCCACGATACAATTTGTCAGCCAGGTCAACCTGCCCTGCGTTAACTCTCGCAACGGCGTTGTCGACCACAAGCAGCTTCCGTGCTTAGCCAACTGGAAGAGGGAGAACACCATGGAGACCATCTTGATTGAGCTCAGAAGGTGCGTCGGTACATGCGCCTGGCTACGCGCTGTGTCGCCCGACAAGACCGATTAGGCGAAGCTGACTGTTTGATTCTTAGATACATGGCGGCCCCGGCGAACAAGAAGATCCCCCAGCCTCCCGAGGGCTCGACGTACCAGTAACCTATTTTCATGATTCCCCAATATGCTCGGAAAAGAAAGGACATAGGGAGAACAGCCCGGCATGATTCTTGGTGCAAGTAGTATGGCTCAATGATTACGACTTTTCCTGCAAACCATGATTGTTTCTCTTGATCCATGCTGTCGGATCGTGCACGAAAACAAGCATCTTGTCCGAAACTTACTGAAATGGACAGCAAAACATCAGGGCGACGGCACAGCCCGTGGGAAGGAGTCTATAAAGGGCGTGATGATAGATCTCGACACCTTAGGGTTAGGGATTCAACTTCTTTCTTTCTACATGCGGACGGACTCTCCGATAATCTCGACATTGCACTTTTACGGGTCAAATTTCGCAGCCGCCATTCATTGATGAAGTATTTTCTGTCTTAATCGACCGATAGGACCGGGAATCATGCTACTGTGAGGTGACGTGCATACAGCACCTGGGCTCATGAACTGAGATCTAATTCTACCCATTTGAGCCCAACTTTGAGTGTGTTGTAAAGATAGCAGGCACGCGCCATATCAATGTTCGAACAAACATGTTCTAGAGCCTTCGGTCGTATGGGTGAGCTGTCAATGCAAGGCGGCGCAGGTTAGCAACTAGACACCTATGTAACTATCCAGGATCTTGGAACACGGAGCGGGAGCCAGACCTGGTGGGCCTCGGTCGTTGCCGTCGGCTAAATATCGGCAGGCAGCTGCCGCCTCCGTCATCCCAGGCTTTTTTTCTCTCCATTGAACGACCCACGCATCCTTACTACCTTATTACGCGAGAGCTGTTCCCTGGGAGCTAATAACTCAGACTGATCCACGCACTTCCAACGCATGCCAATGCAGCAGCAAACATGGCTTCGGCGGTAACCAAGGCCGTCCTCTTCCCGCCTCTGCGACGAGCTCTCGTCCAGTCGCGCGGTTTCCAGACCAGCACCAAGAGCCTACTGCCCTCGGCTTTCGGCGTTGGCTCCAGCATTCCTCCGTCCTACTTCCAGAAGCCGTCGCTCCCCGCCAACACCATCATCCGCTTCGTTCCGCAGCAGACAGCATGGATTGTCGAGCGCATGGGCAAGTTCAATCGCATTCTTGAACCCGGTCTGGCCATCCTGGTCCCCTTCATCGACCGCATCTCCTACGTCAAGTCGCTCAAGGAAAACGCCCTCGAGATCCCCAGTCAGAGCGCCATCACGGCCGACAACGTCACCCTTGAGCTTGACGGTGTCCTGTATACCAGAGTTTTCGATGCCTACAAGGCCAGGTATGTTGACGCGGCCGGAAATTGTAGCCTCGTCGCCCATGAAACGGCAGACTGACTGACTTGTTGTTAGCTACGGAGTCGAAGATGCCGAATACGCCATCTCGCAGCTGGCGCAAACCACGATGCGATCCGAGATCGGCCAGCTGACCCTCGACCACGTCCTCAAGGAGCGCGCAGCTCTCAACACCAACATCACCGCCGCCATCAACGAGGCCGCTCAAGCCTGGGGTGTCACCTGCCTACGTTACGAGATCCGGGATATCCACGCGCCTGCCGGCGTCGTCGAGGCCATGCACCGCCAGGTCACCGCCGAGCGCTCCAAGCGAGCCGAGATTCTCGACTCCGAGGGTCAGCGGCAGTCGGCCATCAACATCGCCGAGGGTAAGAAGCAGAGCGTCATCCTCGCTTCCGAGGCCATGCGTTCCGAGCAGATCAACCGAGCGTCCGGTGAGGCCGAGGCCATTCTCATGAAGGCCAAGGCCACAGCGGCTGGAATCGACGCCATCGCCAAGAGCATCGCCAACGGCGAGGAGGCGGCACAGGGCGCCGTCAGCTTGTCCGTCGCCGAGAAGTACGTCGACGCATTTGCCAAGCTGGCCAAGGAGAGCACAGCGGTCGTTGTCCCCGGAAATGTTGGCGACATTGGAGGCATGATTGCGACAGGCCTGAGCGTCTACGGCAAGGTGGGCGAGGCGCAGGCCAGGACAATGGCAAAGCAGATTGCCAAGGGCTCGGAAGGGGAGCCCACTGACGATGCGCCCAAGGAGCCCAAGGAGCTGAAGGAGTCAGTGCTTGAGAGCTTCGACGAGGCTGCGGGCAACAAGTAATCAAGGAAGACGAAGTTGAGGCGTTGATGGACGCTACGCGTAGAAGGATCAGGATGTGACAATATGTACTAGTATTACCCACTCGACACAAAAAGACGGGGCGACAAATGCCCATCACAGGCTTGAATTGACATTGTCCAAACACGCCTGTCCTCGGGAGAGCCACTTGTTCCTTCACCACCGCAGACCAGGCAGAGTGCCTCGGTGGACGCGCAGTAACATGGGTCAATGAATTCTATTGACAATTGAGTTGAGGCAAGGGGTGAAAGGAGGGAGGCAGCTGCATCCTGTGGCAGGAGCATCATCCGTTGATAAAATCAACCAACTCCGTTGATGCCTCCTCTTTCACTTTGTCCTCCTGTACTGAAGAACCACTTCCTCATGGCTCATCGATTGCTTATCTCATCGTATGCTCCCGCCGTCTCTGGGAAGCATTATGCTTCCGCCCAAGCCTGTAGCGTAATACTATTACAGAATGTCACTTGAAAGAAATGACTGGGCGTTATACCAGCAAACCCCCCGTGTATTGCGGGCTTGCGAAGTAGGGGGGGGGAGAGGAAAACAAACCGGAAAGATAAAAAGGAGGAAGGGAAAAAAAAATAAAAAAAATCAATGATCCAGCCTTCCCGCTTCATCCCGTCCCGAGAACAATTAAACACGCCGCCGCCATCGCCGTAACCCAAGAGACTCCCCGCCTCTTATATTCGTGTGGGCCGTTTGTACAAGATCTGTTTATTGACAAAGAAAATCGGTCATGTGCATTGGGGTATCATGAAGCGATAGAGATTGTTTGGATCGTCCCCCCTTCCCTCGGGTGGGCCTTTCAGCCGTCGTGTCCCCAGGAAGCGGCCTCGACCCCGGAGTTGCCGACCGCGCTCAGCCTAACGGCCCTCCTCGTCGACAGCCGCCTGGTGGTGAAGCCCGGGGCGTCTTCGGGCGAGACTGGCGAGTCCGGCCTCGGGACGCCGCCGAACCGGACGGCATCGCCGTCGACCCCCGCCGTCGCCCGGACTCGCTCCTTGACCGGGGCGTGGTCGCCTCTCGGTCGCAACGGGGACGGCTCGTGCCCATTCCGCTCCCCCATCCTCAACATCCGCCCGCGGTCCTTGCTGGCTGCGCCGTGTCGGGCGTCGCGGCCCCGGAAGAACGACGCGTCGCCGAACGGCTCGTCTTCAGTCTCGCTGCCGTTGTCTAAGTCCATGTAGTCGCTCAGGTCCGGGCTGGGCTCGGCAAAGTCCATCGAGCTGACGTGGCCCACCGGCCGGTCCAGGTAGAGCAAGACCCGCTCGCGCTTGGCCTCGGCCGGCATTGCTTCCTGGACCGGCACCATCTTCCTCGCGCCGGTGGCCCGGGACAACGTCTTTGACGATGATCGCGGGCCAGGCTCAATATGACGGGAGCTGCTACGGTGATGGCTGTTGTCCGGGGCCGTCGACTCCGGACGGCTGCTGGAAGAGCGCGACCCGGCCCTGATGGTGCTAGCGGAGTTGGCCGACGTCTGGTGGCGGAGCGTCTGGGGCGGCTCGGGCCAGTTGATCTCGGTGATGGTCGTCTGCGAAGAATTCCGTTGGTGGAGGTGCGGAGACGCGCTCCTCACCTCTTCGTCGTACTCGGCCAGGATCGTCTCGCGCATCCGGGCCCGCTTCATCCGGAGGGCGGCGAGCAGCATCTCCTCCTGCCGCGTGACGGCCATGAACCGGGCGTCTGCCGCGCTGGGGCTGTCCACGGGGGGCTGCTCTGAGGCGATGGAGGCCTTGGCCGACGTCGGGCTCATCGGCGGGGTCGGTTGGTCGACGGAGCGAGCGGACGTCGACTTTGTAGAAAGCACGCGCCGCGGCTGCTCCACGCGGACGGGCTGTGTGTGGAACTCGGTCGGGGGAGGAACCGAGCTGGCGCGGGTCTCGTGAACGCCGTAGGCCGGATGCATCGGACGGTCCCCTGTAGAGTTGGTCGTGGACAAGTTGGCCGAGTTCCGCGACAGCCGGCCCGATGCAGCCGGGGGCCTGTACGTCGTGGCCGGCAAAGAGCTCATCCGAGGAGGGTAGACGACGGGGGGCTGGCCCGAGGGCGGCTTGCTCGGGATGGCCAAGTACTCACCGGGCTGGGAGAAGCTGGCGTGCTTCGTCGACCTCCTCGAGCCGTGCCCCACGGATGATGCATTCCGGGAATGCGCCGACCTCACCGACGACGAGGGGTTCAGGCTGCCGGCGTCGCTGCTCCGGGACCCCCCGGTAAATTTAGAGACCGAGTCCGTGAAAGCGTCGTCCTCCGAGTCCGACGACAGCGACAGCACGCTCTTCTCCGCCAGATCGGACTCATTGATGCTGTGGCTCGTCCGCTTGGACGCCCTGGAAGTCTTGGTGTAACGACTCGAGACGCTCGACGCGCAGTCCCGGTCGGCCTGCATCGGTTGCTGCCCCGTGGGTTTGGGCGGCTCTGGCAATACGCCGTGATGGATTTGGTACACAGAAGATGTCCCCTCATGCCGGATTGGCGGCCTTGGAGCGTTCCTTCTTTGATCCGGTATTTGTCCGGCCTTGTCCAGGAACGGGTCCGACGCCGCCAAAGGGCCGTCGTGACCGAGGACGTGGTCGAATGACATCTGCTCGTAGTGCTCGTACAAGTTGGGGAGCGTGCCAATATCATTAGCGCCCCTGCGACTGCTCGACCCCGTCCTCGGGCGGCCAGTCATAGATTTTATGCTGTCGAGCGTGCTTCTCCTCACCAGTTTCCGCTCGGCCCTCGGCGGGATCGTCGGCGGCATCTTCGACTCGTCACTCTCTCGTTTAGATTCGTTCTTGCTTCGGAGGCTATGATGCTTATGTAGGGACAACAAGGGAGCCAGGTCCAAGCGGCTAGGCCGCTTCGTCACCTTCGGGTCCGACGACACCACATGGTTCGATTCCTTTCCTTTCATGTCGAGGACGGCGTTCGCTTTCTGGGGTAGCCCTTTGGCCATGGCGGAGGACGAGGTTTGTTGGGATATTGAAAGCGGCATCTTGGATTTGTCATACCATGAGGTGATGGTCGAATTCGAGCCCCGTCGGGTCAGGCTCGAGGTCTCGGTGAACTCCCGGTAGTCAGCGGTGTTGAGTTGCGAAAACCGGTTGGCCAGGTACGCCGGCACGATCTCAGACTCCTGCTCCCATTGCGTGGTATTCCTGCGGCTTTTGCCGGCGCCGGCGCCGTCGTCGTGGCGCGGGCCCGGGCTCCTCTCGCTCGTGTTGTAAGTCGCCGTGCTCTCGGACACGTAGACACTGATGCCCGAGGTGGTGGACGCAGTGTCCCATTGTCGCGGCGCGTCGATGTTGATCTCGGCGATGCCCAGGATCTTTTGCGCCTTGGACATTGGCCCCGAGACGATCGGGCCAAAGGTCTCTTTCTGTTTCCGTCCCGGGACGGGGAAGGTGAATTTGGACGTGCGGCCCATATCGACGAGCGGACGATGTCAAACGACGGGCACTACTATGGTCGGTCAGCTAAGCCATTCGAGAGGCTCGCCCTCTGGAGTGCGGCGCATAGAAGACGAAATCAAATGAAATTATATAAAATCGCTCTTCATCCTCCCGGAAGGGTAGCCCGGCGATCATGGAGCGGCAGAGCTCGTATTGGTGTGGGAGGGAGAGGAGGGGACTACCTTGTCCAAGCAGGTTGACAACCCGCGTTATCGATGCATACGATTTCGGGGGAGGGGGAGGGGAGCAACCAGGCGACAAAACTCCATTCGTGGGTGATGCTTTTCAAAGTTTCCCGTTCGCAGATTTGGTTCTCGATGTACCGTACGGAGTCGTGCGCCGCGAAGCCTCCGTGTTGGTCGCACAGCAGATGGAAAAGAGCCCCAGTCTTCCCAACCGGCCCTCCCTCTGGCAGCAACACGCAGTAATGACGGGATAACGGCGCGGCATACGAAAAAGCACCAAAGGGGTGGTTTGGGACACGAGCCAAGACTCCTGTTTGCGTTTCCACTGGTATGATTTTCAGATCGGTCCGGTCCAGGCAGACTCTCTACCAGTCATCCGAATATGCTGGTCCTCCGCGCGTCGAACACGAGACTCGGAAGCGAGAGAAGGAAAAGGAAGAATCCGGTTCGGGGTGCGTCGGGACATGGGCGATGAGAGGGAACAACGATGATGATATGCGTGGCAGCACCAGCGGGACAAAAGTGGTTTTACTAGCCAGCTTGACGTGCGTGACAGCTTGCGATGGCCACCTGAACCTTACATTGCACGCCCTCTACTCTAAAGTCCTCCACCTCTGGCTCGACACATCCCCCCTCGTTAGCCGGGGCTACCTGACCTGCAGGTGATGAGGGTGGGAAGCCGTCAAGATTCTACATGGGTGGTGGCGGTCCACCGCACGCCATCCATGCAAGCCACACGAGACTGGTGGGAATGCCAGAGAGGGCCCTCCCCCAACTGGGTCCTCTGCCCCGGCGAACGCAATGGCTCTCGCTTTCTTCACTCTCCCTCTTTCTGTCTTCCTCCTTCGCCCTTCGGGGCTAAGGCAGGGGTTAACGACGGCCGGAAACAACCCCCTGAACTAAGAACTTTGATATTGGAAAAAGAAGAAAGCAAGAGTACTGCAGTACCTAGCCATAAAGGGTTGCACTCTTCTTTGTCCGTGTACGAACGGACCACATAGTACGGCACCATACCATAGGGGATGGGAGGTACACGCACCATGGTGCAACCAACAGAACGGACAAGAACAAAGAAAGGCCGAGAGACTGCATTGAAGGCGACAACACTTCCCGTATTCTTTCGTATCAAATTTGGCACCAGGAAAGCCAAGCAGGGTATGGTATGTCGAAACCCGTCCCGCCTCCTTGCCCCTATCTCTCAGCCGAAGATCACGAGAATCATTTCATGCTTCGGAACGGGATGAATGATCTATCATCTATCTCTACGGGTAATCGCTGAGGCCTACCCCTGAGAGGGGAGGGAGTGCGGAAGAGCCTCTCTCTTCTTGCTGCTACGGGCGAAGGCACTCGCCCACCGCCGCCTCTAATGGGAGATGATCGGCGGTGCCGTTCAACCCAAAAGGCCCTGGCCTCACAACCAAAGGGGTTGATAATCGCTGCATACCCTACGGGCGCTTTGGGCTTCTCTGGCACTTCCGATTTGCATAGTTCATCTCTACACTCGCGGGAGTGTGTGCGGGCCGGTCGTCAACGTAGCGGCAGTTGTTAACAATAGCCACCCACCCCACGGCTTACACAGCCTTGACAACGGACGATTTGTGCCCAGGCCAAGCCGGGTTGACCAGCAGTATATGACTTAGACAGCTTCGCTGCCGCGTCGCCTCGCAACCACGGGCTACAACTGTTAGGCCCGTGGCCCGCCTGGCAGCCAGCGTAGTGTCTCGCCCATCCGTTGTCTCAGAGTTCACCAGCGCGCGAAGGACTTGTCGGCCTATCTCGAACCCTGTATCTTCAGTAGTGAGCAGAGAGGGTCTTCTGAAACGGCCTGATCCGGGACCGTCAAGTTTTTGGGGCGGTCTGCTTACCGTTTGAGCACACCCACACACAAACACACACATACACACACACACAGAGAGAGAGAGAGAGAGAGAAATGTGGCTTATGTTAGCTGGAAAAGTCCAGGAGGCCGTGTGTACGCTGCAAACGGGTCTACCCCTGTTCTTCGCAGTCAACAGCTTCGTTGGCATTTTCTACGGCCGAGTACGAATACACAACCTCCCAGGCCATGGCTGTGTGATTGTTTGTTTCTTTCTTTCTTCATTAACCTCTTGATTCCCATGTCTACAAGCGCAACCGGCCTGGGCTCTCCAAATGTCCATGCTACTGTGTCTCGCTTCGTTCCCTCCTTTCCGCACCCAGCAAGCAAGCGAGACACTAGTGAGAGAGGAGAATCCACATGTAGTGGCTTAAAATGCCCCTGAACCTAGTCGCCCATGGTCCCGTCCGTACAAACCCTGGGAGGTCTCGGCGCAACGGGTCACGCCATTGGTTTGCACATGCATTCAGCGCCCACTTTGGAAGTTACCGCTCTTCTCTCCCTCTCTGCCTCCCCATGTTGACTCTTACAACCCTGGCATGGCAGCGACGTGGCTTAGCATGTGGTGTTGCTACAAATACTCTGTACATGGTGGGAGAGACATTACGGGACCCCTACCGCTAGCGTCTGCTCTCATAGGGCACTCTTCCTATAAGACTCGTTCACGTTAGATCCTGCAGGTGGAAAAGCAGACAAGGCCACCGCGACTCGGCGGCCAACAGCACTTGACTGGAGAACATTTTTGCGTTGTTCTCTGCAACAATCCATGACTCGTGAAGGATGGCCAATCGACACTTGACAACGAGAGGTATGGCCATGGTAGAATGGAGAGAGGGAAGGGGACAAGAGGAAACGGCACGCAGAGGGAGCCTTGACACTTTCTTCCTGTGGTGGCAAGCAACCGGTTTCGTCCACACTGAAGCGTTTTTTTATATGTATAGTCTATGTGGGCTGGCCCATATCGTCGGGTCTTTCGTGCGAACTACCGGTAGCCTCCTTCTGCAAATCTCTGTGGCCACTTGAGAAGAGCCGAGTTTTACTGGCTTTGGCGCTACCTTGGGCATTAGCTTATTGCTTGCCTTCAGACGGACACGGGCTCCGCGGCAAGGCGAAAGGGTATGTTCCTAGCCCTCAGACCCCTTCGACCCGACCAACGAGTGAATGCACATTGACCACGGACTCAACAAATGAAAAGCGCGACGATCAGCACCATCTATCTTTCGATATTGTATTGGGCTTCCCCGCAATAGGAGGACCACGGACGGTCGACGATGGTCGTGCAGTAAGGACCGAATCGGGTTGGCTTCCTTGTCAATAGTCGGGGCCGGTCGCCGTAGTACAAGTGAAGGATGACCACTTGGCTTTTCTCTTCTTTTTCTCGTTCCCTCTTCGCTCGCTCTAGTTCGGCTCAATAGAGTAAGATGATCGCGAGTCGGTGGGCGTGGATCACTCAACCCTGAATGAGCACCGACATATCATCTTAACCACCCTCGCTCTGGAATTCAGCAGCGCACGCAAACGGCGTAGCTATACGAAGACACAGTAGCCAACCCCCACTCCGCGGGCTATTACTCCATTCTCAATGATTTATTTGGACTACTTGGCGTCCGTGTGTGCATCCTTCCGGTGCTGGACAAGTCGACTCAGTCGAGGGTGATCCCAGCCTCACCCCCGAGTCAACAGTGCTGCTGCTTTTTGGCCCATATCTAACTGATTTCAGCAACAGCATCCATAAGAAGAAAGGCCAACTAGCAAAACGACACGGCCTAAGTAGCAGTGCTCCCAGGTCAAACAAAGAAACCTCTAGCAAACGCTAAATTATGCTAGGGAAACAAAAACTGTACGCTGCGTGCCGTATCTTTCCACACGTGTCACGCCAAGGCGCGTCATCGTACAGTAACGTAACTCTAGCTACAAAGCCGATCATATGCCGGTGAACACCGCGATTGAACTATTTCTCCCCAATCCGGATTGTCAATCAAGGGTTTCAATGGTCTGCGAGCCCCGTGAGACCTTACAGATGGGCCGCCGCCGCCGCCGCCGCCGCCCCCTAGTGCCTGACATCTCGCTTCAGTCGATTGCTCGTCGACGGCGAGATTAAGGATCAAAATAGGCCAAGGCTGTGGGCCAGGGATCAGTAGACCACATGATTGAAGATGAATGGGGGGTGGGGGCCGGTTGAGAGCAAACCCCTGGCGATGCCCCAGCCATCAAGGGCCCCCACCCACGAGTTTTCGTCCGTCCGCTTCAACTCTCGGTGAGAGGGAAGATGAAGCACTTTATCGTGACAATGACCGGAGGCTGGACGCAATGGAGGTTGGAGGACCGCGGCATTGGGTGTATATGAGACCAACCCGTCCGGTGATTCGGCGCCGGGTCTATCAACCATCGTGTCAAGTGCATCAACGTGCTGGCCGGGGCAACCCAGGATGCGACCCGGTCCCTAGAGGCGGCCCAAACAAGGGACGGATCGGCTGTCAGGTCAGGCTTGTCAGGCACAGCCGCTTGCCTGAACATGGCTCCATCATGTCTCTCCTTGTGAACGCACGGCCAAGGTAACAAGTGTCTCGCTCGGCACATAGTGCCTATATTGTATTGTGCAGATCCGTACGCTTGCTCCGCGGGGGGTGCCTACCTAGTAGTGCGGCATGTTGATCCGAACCACTGGCTAGCCGAGCAGTCCAGCTAGACATGAGAAAGAAAGAGAGTCAGCGAGAGAAGCGCAATCGTCACCGGGGAAGATCCCAGAGAGACGGCCGCTGACTGTTTTCCCTCACATGGTCTTTGTGGCGTCTTCTCCATCTATCACAAAAACAGCATGGCACTGACCATCTACTCGAACTAATAGAGAGTCACGACATGTATGTATAACTACTGGTATGGCCCGGCCACGAGCTGATGGAGACATCGTTTAGACAACGTGCCCCTCGGGGTAAACCGGCAAAAACAAAGCAGTAGAATACCAGAGATTGCTGGAGCATTGGCCGCGCGACTCTGGCCCTGGACTCCATTAACAAAGTGACCCTCCTCTTCCAGGCGCCGTATCCGTCCTCGAGGTGTAAAGTAGGCGATCAGATCCCTGCCCCGCTGCCGCTAATCAAGATCTGTCCATGGCTGTCGACGTCCAGCCCCATGGAATACTTACTCATTTCGTCACCCTGCCTGTCGTCCGCTCGCCAATATTGACGCAACAACATCCGTGCCGCCCCGAATCGGCAGCGGTAGTGGATGTCGCAATCTGTCTTGCATGGAGATGCTCCAGACGACAGTGAACAGCGATGGTCAACGGCCGGGTTCGAAGATCTGAAAATAGCTGGGCGGGGGAGGAGGGGAAGGATTTCAATCTCTTGTTCCTCGATTCTGTGGTTCCCTCGTGTCACTTTCTTTTCTAGGGAGCCAAGCCTAACGGACAATGACTACCCAAGTACGGATACGACGAAATCAAACCGCCTACCTCTCTTGCCACGGAGCTGACATCCTTTGGGCCATGGTTACCGGTTTCCCCCCTTTAGCGGACTCCTTTCCCGTAGTTCAACACTGATACTTCCTAGGAGCGCGGGTCTGCATATGCCTGTCGTTACAAAAAGCAAAGGGGACAGGCGTTAAGATAAACATCCGTTCCAAGACCTTGCCAGGCTGATTCATCGCCGGAGGTCCAGATCGCCCCCCTTCATACAAGTTGACAAGTCATTTGGTCGCATCTCACTCAAAATCTGGCTACGACCTCCTTCTCTGCCAAAAGTCGCATTCACACCATGTCATCGTACGCACACGGGCAAGACGGGTTTCCTAGAAGCACTGGTGTTACACCAGGCAAGCCTGCCTTTCACCTTCTCTAATCTCAACCGCCGGCGTCCGTCGGCCGATGTGTCGCGGCCCGTTGCTAATCATGCGCATCGAATCGGCTGTTTAATTCCCCTCAACTGGTGTGACATGCGTGCCATCGGCTACGGGTGCGGTCTCGAAGGATTCGGAGACCCATTGTGCCCATTGTGAAAGATTACACCAGACTCGATCGGGCATATCTCGCTTGACCGAACCCCTCTCCTCCCCCCTTCGATGGGACGTTTTCAAACCGTATACCGCTGGCATCTCGAAACAGCTAACGCAAGGCGCCTGCCTCTGCGCCGCACGCGGCGGCAGGTGAACTGCGCCAACGTTACATTGATGCGTCGAATGGCCGTTCCGTCAGCAAAAAGCTAGAATAACAATCCCCGTCGCGTTTGTATACTGGCCGCGCCGCCCCCGCTCGCGATTTCACACTTGCATGTTCGCGCCGTGGGAGATCTCGCCCGATGGCTGGTACCACGCCAAGCCCGCTTTCCGGCGACAGTCAGACTGCGGGACCGCCGGCTTGCATCTTGATCGCCCGCACCTCCCTGTCACGATGCGCAGACAGCCTAAGCAAGCGGCTTGTGCGTCTTCCGGTGAAAATCTGGAAATATCGACTCAAAGGGCCCCGCTCGCAGTGTTCCAGTTGGCGGGGTCAAGAATATCGCAAGGGAGAATCATCGCGGGGTATAATGCATGACGCGAGTGCAACCTCGAAAGTTGCTGGTGAGAGAATAGACGGCTCGGGGTGGGGCCCGGGTGACTCGCGTTCAGCTGCTTGCGGAACTACTACTTCTAGGATTTGGCATTTTCATGTCGGTCGTAGGGTTCTAACTCGACGGCGAGGCAGACACGTAGTTACTAGCTGATACGCGCACAGAACGAAGGGAGGACGGTAGTGATACTCTTCGAGGCCTCGTTCAGGATACCCAGCTCGGCACGCACAATCCTGTGCACTCCCTGGCTATCCCCTTTCATACATAGTATGCTGATTCGAGTGGATCTGATTCCGAATGTTTCCTGCTCGGGGACGAAAGCATGCCTTCCCTGGCCGGCGACTGAGTCGTGCCGATAGTCGGAGGAAATCGCGCATCAAGCGGGCCACGGGGCTTTCTCTTCTTGTCCTTATTCACCGGTTCTATTGCAGGCCGTTGATGACATATTAAGCATGAAAACAGAACATCCCTGAATCCATGATTAAGGTTTCCATGGGTGCCCCCGACATCAATGGCGACTGAGTCTGTGTTCTTCGTACCCTCTCACTTGTCATTCCCCGATACTGTTTTGCTGCCCGCCCGAATATGTTCGTTAACAGTAAATTCTTTCTTATTCTTCAATTCTTTCTTATTCTTCAAACCATTGAGGGCGGCGCTTCATTATGAAACTCGACGATTTGATAGCCAACGTTCAAGCCGGCCGGCTTTGGCATGTTTCCGATTCAGCTGGCTACGATAAGTGTGTTAAGCTGCTCGTCCAATCATGTTAAATGAATTCTCGTAAATCTTTTCACTTCTACCGATATATGATGAGACCGGGAAGACTGGGTTCCGCGGCTGATAGATAAGAGCGCGCGGCAAAGTTTAAGCTGTAGCTTATGATGCCCTGTCAGCAACAAATCAGATCTGCTCCCTTTCCGTCATCATCATTGTTATTGTTGACTTCATCGTCAATCTGAAGGCTAGTTTTCCTACAGCTTTTTGGACAAAGACCCGGTCTCGCCTGTCATTAAGGGGGGGGGGGGGGGGGGGGGCGGGAGGGGGTTATGTGGAAACCACTAAGCCATTACAATGTGCTAGGAATTGATTTGAAAAGACATCTACTCATGACACTATACGAAACGGTTATACGACTTCAGATAACGCAAACTAAAGGGCGAACGATGAGATCAACGCATCGACGGCCGAGTGCTATGGAGACATCTGCAAACAAGGGTCCGAAGTCAGAAAAGTTCCCCTGGCTTCGACCATGCATTCGATGAGACTTGAAAAGGTTACAAGAATGAGTACATAACCTTCTGTACAAAAAGAGGATGTAGAACAATAGTAATACTTGGTTTGTATTGGGGTGACTCGACCACTTGGGTTTCCAGCCTACGCTGCGATTTCCTACACCGAGGACGACTCCCAGATCGACATCCCCTAGCCCTAAGGTTCGCAGAGACCTTCACCATAGCGACTAAGAACCGTTTCAGGGTTTTATCTATCAGTTTTGAAGTGTCTGTTGTCAAACGATTCTGTTCTAATCAGCCAAGAAAACTTAACAGAAAGGACGATATAAGTTCGCCCTGATGAGTCGCGTGTTCATATCCTCTTATCAGGTAGCTGTCTACGCCTGGGAGAGAACACCAACTACTAGGTTGCGATCCAAAATGCTTGTCTTGGTGAACAATATTGTTTTGATACAAAAGATGAATCGACTTTTCCCAGACATTTCCTTTCCCAGAATTCACATCGCAGCCCCGTTGGATGCCCATTTGGAAACACCTTGGTTAAGCAGAACTTGGGTACTAAAGGACATCTTCAACCTAAGATCTCCTACAAGCCCCAATCATTATATACTCTACGGGTAAGCAGACGTCTGTTTCCCTCCTCGGCAATGCATAGGCAAGCATGTCCTAGTATGCGTCATACACCAAATGTAGCGGTATGTATTACATGGGCGTTACAACGAGAAGCAAAACCTTTGGGTGACTATTCTTGAAAGCCACGACTGTTAGGTTAATAGAGTCTCAGACAAGGTTTATGCACTTGAATCAAAGCCTTACGGCCTTATGCCATGTTTTCGGAGCTTCTTTCGCCAATCACTTTCACTTTAGCTTGCAACCTCACCAGCCAACGGCATTTCTGCTATACGACTTCCGCCGCCGATATTGTCACTGATGCCGTTGCAGGTCCCGTTATCCCAGCCACGTCTCAAATCTGGGGTGTGTGTTACAATATATAAGCTACTATTACTGCTCACGTAACTAATGGTATTGTTTTGTTATGTGACATGAGGTATGGTCGACTACCTGTGATAAACAACAAGGATGAAGGGGGCTAGATGACTTATGAGCAGCGTACCTATATCTGCACCAAGATACGTGTGCAAAGATTTTCTTCTATGAACATTTCCGCCCCAAGTAGCTAGACATAACATCCTGCCCGTCACTCAATCAGATCTCATAAACGTCATCTGCGTATAGGAGCTCGTGATATTGACCAGCCTCCCGTCCTCGATGGTGAAGATGTACTCGTCAACCGCCTCCTGGGCGTCGAGGCCCATCCACACCTGCGAGTTATCAAACAAGCCCCCGGCGCCGCCCTCGGAGCGGGACCGCGGGTTCAGCTTCGCGGGGTAGGTCACCAGGCGGAAGGCCGTGCTTAACGTTCCCCTGTTGCCGTACAGCGCTGAAAGGGACCGGGAGTTAGAGTACAAGCCGGTGGGGAACAGCCGCGCCGACGCCCCAGCGGTCCCGTCCTCGCCGTTGATAAAGGCCGACTCGACGACCAGGCCCGCGCCGTCCGCGTCGACGCTCAGGGTCACGTTGCTCCCCGCGGACGCCGCGACGAATGTGCCGGCCAGGTTCAGCCTGGCGTTGTCGGCGGCGGCGGCCTCGGCGGCGGGGATGAAGAGCTCGCCGACCGCGTCGCGGATCGGCCAGCGGGCGGGGGTGGCTGTGCTCCCGGCCACCAGGATGGAGTACCCGATGCCGTGGTCCGGGGAGAGGGCGAAGATGCACGTATAGTCGTAGTTGCCGCCCGCCTTGGTGTACAGGTCAGAGATGCGAGTACGGTTCGAGCCGGCCGAAGTCGGGATCGCGAGGCGGGCGATCTCCCAGGGCGCGCCGACCAGTTCCACCAAAGACCCCGTACCGCTAAGAGGCTTCATCCACCGCGAGGTGTTGGTGCTGGAGAGGAGTTCCGAGTCCAGGATAGACAGCCCAAATGCGCGGAGGTCGGCCGCGTTCGAGTAGATGCCGCCCGAGGACGCGGTGACGGGGAAGTCTATGCCAAAGGCAGTAAATTCCGTGTAAAGTGCGCGGTTGATCGCGTTCGTATCCGTGTTATTGGGCGCGGCCGCGGTCGTTCCGTTCAGACCGAGGGGCTCAAGGATGATGGACCGGAGGGCGTCTGCGTAGGTCTGTCCTGTGAGACGTGCAAGCACCTGTCCGAGAAGGGAGAATCCTCCATCGGAGTAGACGGCGTTGCGGTATGGAGAGATGACAGGCCGCTTTCGGCTCAAGTAGTTAAAGAGATCTGTGCCAGCGAGTCAGCCATGTAACTTAGCAGACACGAGGTCAATTTTCTCACCATGAGGGGACACGGCCTGAATCTCTTCCAAGGTCATGTCTGGTCTGGCAAGTCCTGGATCCCTTATTAGCATTGAATCTGTAAACCATTGACCGAAAATGGGAACTAACCATCTACTCCACCAGATCCGGCTTGGTGAGATGCCAGCGCTCCGACGGTGATGTCGTCCCAGCGGATACGGCCAAAGGAATTGTCAGATGAGTTGCCCAGAAGCTCCGGGATGTACTTCGTCACAGGGTGGTCCAGGACTTGAACGCCAGCCTTAACAAGGATCGCGTAGGTCGTGAAGAGCTTGCTCACACTGCCAATGCGCCCGATGGTGCCATCGTTGAGCTCGCCTGACGTCAGCCCGGCTTTTCCATCCTCGCCAACGTGGTAGTGGCTATATAGGGACTTGTTCGTTGCGGCAGTAAAGACGTCAACGGCGAAGACGAGGTCAGTCTTGCTGAGCTGGCCGCTCTCGAAGAGGGCTTCGATCACCCTGGGGAAGGACTCTGTAGCATTCCGGATATGCTCGGAATCTGTGGGATCAAAGTTGGAGAGGAATGATGGGCCGAGGAGAGGGACCTCTTCTGTCGGGACGTTGGCGGTAGCGGCCGTGGCAACGGCTACGGAAGCCAACAGGCTGAGAACGGAGGTGCGAAGCATTGGGGACGGAATATCTGGGTGCGTATCGAGCGTTGGGGGTATAATAGAGGAAACAGGCGATTGTGGTGAAGCAGTTCGGGATGAACTGGGGGTTGGACGCCGTCACTTAAGTATTGCTGGATGATCCATCGTCGGAACGTGATGCTTGGTAGCGGAACGTCATTATTTGACCTGCGCCCTGCTTTGCGTTACTCTTGTGTATTGTGCCTCTGAATTGATAGTGTAGGCTCATAGCTGCCGGGCGCCCGCTAAGCGGTTGAGTCTGACAAGGATGGTGAGCCTACCACCTAGAGGGAGATGACCTGGGGAATGTTCCTAAAAAGGAGATTGTAAGTCTTGAGTCTTGCCAGTGGCACTTAGCCACGTTGGGGCTTACTGCCAAGCCTGTCCATCCCGAATGGGGAAAATACAAGTCAACCGCTAAGGCCAATTTGGTATCTTCTGCTGCGGGCGAGCAACGCGTTTATCTTGCGAAGCCTCGGGTTGTGGTGAGTCCAGTCGGTCCTTAACAGCACTTAGAATGTTAATAGGAATAGCGTCCAGCATAATGATAACACGATGCTTACATTCCGAATTTTCTGGGGAACTGACATGTCACATTTGACGACATTAAGTAAATTGAAGAACCGCTCGACAGTTTCGGTGTCTCGGTGCCCTGTGAAGTAATGATGCCGAGGCCTTGTTTTATTGCCTTGTCATTTGTAGCCACTACATCGTCAGCTTCCCCGGTATCACTTGGGCGATAGTGGGCGGCTAGGATGCACCGATATACATAACTTCGGATGGCTTATCAAAATTAGATGGCAAAATCAGGCCATAGCTCAAGTCATCAAACTGCAATAAGGCTTGTAGGTCATTCTATTTGTTAATATCAAGCTGATTTGTATCTGTAAAGCAATGTTATAGGCCCGGCGCACAGGCTTACACTCTAGGTACGGATATATCTCATATATGTAGGCTTGGAGGCAACGGTGCGATGTTCCTCGAAGAGGAGCGTTGTTGCTCAGAATAAGGCGTATGAGGGGATCGTTCGGTAGCGGTAATTGGCGTAGAATAAGAGAAAGCCACAGCCTAGTAAGAGAGAAGTACCTTGCACCAAATATCCAGAAATACTTCCTACAAATAGTAGTTAAAGACTTGTCTAAAATTTGTCTCTTCCTAATCTCCCGTTCTGGTCGTGGTAATTCTAAGGAATGATCTATGCCAGACTATTACAAAAAAGATTGTTGTGGTAAAGCGAAATAGATGTTTATTCTTGGTTTGGAATAGGTGTGAGAACTTCGGAGACAGTGGAAGGAAGATTACAGGCTTGATAAGCAAAATATGTCAACAGAGATGGATCACACCTGAGGAACAAATGACATTTTAAGCCTTGTGAGGGGTCAGTAA